TGATTGCCATGTCACCACCTCAGCCTTGCACTTTTTTATCTCTTAAAAAAATTAAAATTCAGAAATGCAGAAGAGTAAAGAAGTTGTTTCCATCTGGGAAGTTGGTGGAATATCTCCAAAATCTAGAGGAGATTGATGTCAGCGACTGCGAAGGAATGGAAGAAATAATAGGATCAGATCCAGAAGAAGAAGGAGAAGGAGGGGACATCATCAAGAAGCTCATTCTTCCAAAATTAAAAAGACTGAGATTGATGCACTTGCCTGCATTGAAGAGCATCTGTAGCAGGAGGGCAGTAATGATATGTGATTCTCTTGAATCTATTTCCATTAGTGATTACAAGGTGAGGATTCCCTTTCATCTCCCTCCTTATCTATCTCTTTATGGGTTGGACAACTTGGATTGGCTGTTTGAAGGAGAATTGATTGCCATGTCACCACCTCAGCCTCGCCCTTTTTCATTTCTTAAAATTGTTATGATTAAGGAATGCAAAAAATTGAAGAAGTTGTTTCCATCTTGGAAGTTGGTGGAATATCTCCAAAATCTAGACAGGCTTGATGTCACAAATTGTGAAGAAATGGAAGAAATAATAGCATCAGATCCAGAAGGAGGAGGAGAGGAAGGAGGGAACATCATCAAGGAGCTCATTCTTCCAAAATTCAAAAGTCTGTATTTGTATAATTTGCCTGCATTGAAGAGCATCTGTGGCCGGAGGGCAGTAATGGTATCTGATTCTCTTGAAAATATTAGTATTACCAATTGCAAAGCCCTAAGAAGGATTCCTTTTTGTCTCCCTCCTCGTTTATCTCTTAAGGAGTTGGACAACTTGGATTGGGTGTTTGAAGTAGAATTCATTGCCATGTCACCACCTCAGCCTAGCACTTTTTCATCTCTTAAAAACTTTGTGATTACGGGATGCAACGAAATAAAGAAGTTGTTTCCATCTTGGAAGTTGGTGGAATATCTCCAAAATCTAGAGGAGATTGATGTCAGAGACTGCGAAGGAATGGAAGAAATAATAGGATCAGATCCAGAAGAAGAAGGAGAAGAAGGAGGGGACATCATCAAGAAGCTCATTCTTCCAAAATTAAAATATCTGAAATTGAGACTCTTGCCAGCATTGAAGAGCATCTGTAGCAAGAGGGCAGTAATGGTATGTGATTTTCTTGAATATATTACCATTGAGGAATGCAAGGGCCTAAGGAGGATCCCTCTTTCTCTTCCCCTAGTTGATAACGTCCAACCATCTCCTCCTCCTTCCCTCAAAACAATCCAGTTGCGTCGACGAGAAGAGGAATGGTGGGAATCGTTGGAGTGGGACCATCCCAATGCAAAGGATGTCCTTCAACCCAAGGTTTGGTTTACGTCCTGATATTTCCTCGTTTCCATAATTAGAGTCGGAACAGTTGGAATTGGAAGATTATCCAGAAGATTGAAAGGTGAGGGATCAATTTGCGTATTTTAAATTAGCTGTGAGACTCTCTGCAAATCTTTGTTTTGGCATTCATTCCCTACAAATTGAAAAAAAATTTAGTGGATGAAAATGCATAAATAAATTCCTTGATTATTGTTAAAAATATATAGTAGTGCTTAATTTCCCTTCCCAATGATTTTCAAGTAATGAATTTTTCCTTTTTTTTTTTCAGTGGATCAAGAAGCCGGTTCATTCAGCCAGTCTGTTGCTTTTCATTCCGAGCTTCAAAGGATGTCCTTTCTACTACCCTTATGTGGATTGTTTTAGTGTGATTCTTGTGTTTTCATACTCTCTGTAAATTAATTATGTTGAAAACTGATTTAGAACACCCTTTGTATTCTTATGTATTTTGCTGCATTGTTATATATCTTGGTTGTACCATGTACAAACATAAATATGTGTTTTCAATCTAATCTATATGACGAATTAGCTGGAGAGAAAGCAGGAACTCCAACCCACAACAATCAACTCACGAATTCATTGATTCTCTTCTTCTTTGTTCTTTCTTCTTCTTATTCTGTTGTTGTGTGATTGCTTCTTGTTCAAAGTACAAGATGGAAAGATTTAGGGAAACATCGGGAGCCAAGAATGGCTTTTCAGTTCTTTATTCTCTGAAA